AAATTATATATATGTGTATATATAGCTATATATTTAGTATAATTTCAGAGCTGAGCAAAGAGTTTCCAGCAATCTGATTGGTCGAGCGGTTCCTTATATGACGCTGTATAAACCGCTCCATGCGCTTTATATAAAATATTAAAATAAAATGTTAATAAATGTTACTAAAATGTTATGATTTTATAATTTCTCTGTTGTTCAGCTCTGAACTTATACTAAAAAAATTTTTCGCCTCAGGTTCGGTGAATATCGTCGAATAATCCCCGAGACGAAGTCGAGGGGATTATTCGACAATATTCACCGAACCTGAGGCGAATAATTGTTTTAGTATAATTTCAGAGCTGAGCAACAGAGAAATTTCTAAAATCATAACATTTTAGTAAATTTTATTTCAACATTTTATATAAGCCGCGTGGAGCGGTTTATAAAGCGTCATATAAGGAACCGCTCGACCAATCAGATTGCTGGAAACTCTTTATATATAACTAACTGCAGACAGTACTGTTTCGGCCTTCTGGGCCTCATCAGTGCAGTGCTGATGCTAGGATGGGGGAGAACCGAGACGGTCACCCCGAACTACCCCACGTTTGTGGTAAATAGAATAAATGTTTGAAAAGAAAATTTGCCCTGAGCGGGATTTGAACCCACGTCCCCCCTGTTAATAGTCAGGTGTGATGACCCGACTACACTATCAGGACAACCATGCTGGCAACACAGCAATCGAAGATGTGATTTACGTGATCGGAGACGTGGTGTCCCGGGAAACTTAATTTTCAAGGTGACAGAGTAGGGGAAGCCCATAACCCCATATGAAACCCAACTAAGGATCTATTAAAGATACACGACCGAAGTCAACTTAGCGGATGACAAAGGAGGATCCAATTACGGATACAGGCTAATTTCAATTAAACATACCATATTTATTCCTGATAGTGTAGTGGTCATCACACCTGACTAGTAACAGGGGGGACGTGGGTTCAAATCCCGCTCAGGGCAAATTTTCTTTTCAAACATTTATTCTATTTAAGTATGATTATTTGGGGTGTACAGGGTCAGGGTTTCCCTCGTATACAGAATATATATATATAGGGGTGTGAAAGATGTAGGCTAACCATGTTTATTCCACTTACAATATATTTAACAATTATTCGCCTCAGGTTCGGTGAATATTGTCGAATAATCCCCTCGACTTCGTCTCGGGGATTATTCGACGATATTCACCGAACCTGAGGCGAAAAATTTTTTTAGTATAAGTTCAGAGCTGAACAACAGAGAAATTATAAAATCATAACATTTTAGTAACATTTATTAACATTTTATTTTAATATTTTATATAAAGCGCATGGAGCGGTTTATACAGCGTCATATAAGGAACCGCTCGACCAATCAGATTGCTGGAAACTCTTTGCTCAGCTCTGAAATTATACTAAATATATAGCTATATATACACATATATATAATTTCCTAATCCGATGATTAGGGAGACAGCAGAGTCTTAATACCCAGGCCCTCTGATGAAGATGGTGGGGCCATCACCAATAACAACCTCGCCAGCATCCAATCTCTTCAGAATTCCACGCTTCTGATTATGAGCAGAGATTAGAAGGCAGATAAGTCTTACTGCGAAGACAAGTGCTACAAGTTCAGTTTCTGTTAGGTGAAGCGAACCTTCTCGGCTGTCATGTTCACCCATCTGTAGATTCGGTCAATATTTTCGTGCACTTTACACCCTCCTCAAAGTAACCTTGTCTCTCAATCACGCATCACGTGATGTAAACAACAGGAAGAGAAAATGCGCTGTGTTTTAGCAGAGAGGCATTTTGTCTGCGCATGCGCGAGTGGAATTGGTTTTTCGCGTTCGGCGCCATTGGTGAAGTTTTCGACGCGTTTCTGCGAGGTTTCAACTGGACGAT